GCAGAGGCAGCCATGCCAATCAGGTGCAGAACCACTGCAGGGGGCAAGAAGTGAATGGGCAGTGCTCACCCCACTGTGCCATGTCCTCACTGCCCTCAATCACAGTCATCCAGTGTGGTGTCCATCAGAGGGACAGCGCGGCATAGCTTGCCATGAAGCTCAGAGAGGAGGACTCACAGGACACCAGCCAGCCAGCTATCTAGGTCCCAGGGTTTTACTGAGGCCTGTAGCGGGTGTTCAAGGGGGGCAGAAGGACTGTTTGTGGCTGGATCAGGACTACTGAGCAAACCTACTCCTGCTATGGCAATTCTATCCATAACTGAGAAGTTTCCCTTTCTCAGCCTTCCTAGGAGTCCAGCACTGCCTCTCCTTTCTGCTGATAAGGGGCAGCACTGAAACAGTGCAGAAGGGTGGAAGTCCAGGATCACATTCAAGCTGATGAGTTCACCAGCAGGAGTCCCTCTACCCACTCTGTGGTTGAGGACAGGCAGAGAGGTAAGGAAGGATGTGGGGCAAGAGCAGGGATGTTGGCAACTCCTTCAGGGAAAAGAGAGTCCTTCATCCCAGAGCCTCACCAATAGGGATAAGCTTCTAACAGGGAAAACTCATGAGCTAAATTTTCTGTTGGTTTGGCTTCCTTGAAGTGAGCTCGTCAGATATGTGTGGTGTTACATTACCAGAGAGGAGCCTGAACAGTGGAAGCCCTACAAATGAATGTCTGTTTCTCGGGTCATAGTAGCACCCAAAGTTATTCACACTGAATCTAATTTCCTTTTCCACTGTTGATATCCTTGGTTTATTTCCCCCCCTGCACTTCTCAGAGAAACAACACTTGTCAATTATATTAGTTTTTTCTGGCCAAGTTCAGTTTGCACTAGCACATTGCTGTACAATCTGGACTGCAAACACAGCTGGGACATGTTCAAATCCCAACTTAGTGCTATTTACATTGTCATTTACAGATATTCTAGCTACAGCATGAAAGCTTGTTTGTTAATGACAGATTCTTGTTTGCAGCAGCACTTGTATTTTAGCACTCTTCCAGAGTCCATTCAGAGAGGTTCTGGAAAGAACACCAGAGTGGAAACCCAACATCCAGACCCCATACTCTCTTAGATCTTCATGTGAGGGACACCACTGCTATGTGGTGCACTAGCAAAGTTGACCCATTAAAATATTTAAACAGGGCGCATCTACACGAGACACTTTACTGTGCAGTAGAACAAATTACTGCGCAGTAAGCATCACTGTTTACATGTGTAGACCCTTATTGCACAGTAATTTTCTCTACTTGGCAGTTAATTTGCTACCTGCAAATGCAAGTGGCAAATTAACTGCCAAGTAATTACTGCACAGTCAGGCATGATTAGAAGGCCAACCATGAGCAAATTTGCTCCTGGTCAGCTAGGCAGCAGGGGGTGGAAGCTGCCTGCTGCCAGGGTGGGCTTTACCACCAGAGCCCAGGTGGGGACAATGTCCCTCTGCCCCAGCAGCAAGGAACTTTCAGTCCCTGCTCTGTGACCACAGAGCTGAGGCCAGGAGCTCCCTGCACAGGGCCAGCCTGGAGTTGGCTGGGACCTGCCTGAGACTGGAATAGTTTCCAGCCAGCCCTGGGCTATGCAGGGAAGTCTGCATGTGCAGCCTTGAGCTGGCTGGGGACTGTCCCATTTCGGGCAGCCCCAAGCCAGCTCCAGGTTGCATTTGTAGATTTCCCCACACAGCCTGGGGCTGGCTGGGAACTGTCCCTGTCTGGGGCAGGTCCTAGCCCTCCCATTTTTTTCCTAGCCCTGTGCCCCAATCAGGCAATAAAGCCACAGGGCTTGGAAAGAGCTAGCAGACAGGGGCAGGTCCAAGCCCTGTCTTGATCCACCAGTGGGAATCATCACCCAGCTGTGGCCTCACTGCTAGCTGCCCCACCAGGGCACAGGGGCATTGTCCCAGCTTGGGCTCTGTTACTGGAGCCTGCCCCAGTAGCATTGCAGCTCCCAGGGGCAGGGAGCAATCTCCCAGCCCCAGCCAGGATACAGCTGTCTCCTGGTCTCATGCTCCCTGGCAACCCCTGGGCTAGTACCCCGTGGGAGCCCAGAGCTCCCCCTGGCTGTGGCAGGGGGGCAGGGCAGGGTGGGAGCAAATCTGCTCCCAAATGCATGCACATGTAGACTCCTGTCCAGGGTGGGTTTACTCCAGAGTTAATTACTCTGGTGTAAACCCATCCTGCAGCATTTGTATGTGTATATGTATCCACTTCCAATGCTGCTGCCTTTGGGTAAAAAGACCCTGGCTTGAGTCTTGCCCTGAGTCACTCATAGGTATTACACAAAGGGTGTCTGCTCCTGGCTTTAAGACCCGAGGCAGAGATCCATGCTCCCACCAGGACAAAGATAATTGTACTTGTGAATTTGCCATTTACAACAGGTCTGGAGTTCTTCTGTGCTGCTGGTTGATTTCTAACATGGCTAAAACAAAGATTAAGGGGACTGAATTAAAACCACCTATGTGTAAACTGAGTTAAAACCATTTTTGTGTAAAACCAGCTGTGTAAACTGAGCTGACCGGACTCTGTGCAGCAAAGTGAATCTCAGTGGTTTGGTTTTAGCTTCGGACTACAAGCAAAATCCTTTCAGTTTGTTACAGCAGATATACGGCTGTAGCAAAACCCCCAGTTTTTCTTTTTTTTTTTAATTTTAAAATGCATTCCCTCCCCTTTCCCAAACCATTTCTGACTTTTTCTCTCCCTTTCTATTCGCTATAGATAAGTATAAGTGAGCTCAGACTTAGGATAAGCTTTAAACATTTTTATTTTGCTAGCAAGTTTTTGGTTTTGGATATCCACCATTTTATATTGTATTATTATTAGGTTTGTATTGATTTTTATTGTTGTATATTGTATTATTATCATTTTCGTATTGATTTTTATTGTTTCATATGGACATTGTATGGTTTAGGCCTGTGTTTGTAAGTGAACCAAAGTCATGTCAAGTTTCCTTTTTTTTATGTCAAGCCTCCATCTTCTGTCCTCTGCCTGGGCATCCCATGTTGCAAATGTATGAGTCATGTACCCCTCCCATGTAAATTGGTTCCCCAATGAATGAGTGTGATTGGAAATGATTGAAATACAATGGTAGCAGGCCTCTACT